GAATGTCAATAGAAAACTAGAAGAGGATCTCTCCTTTAAAAAGGAATATCATGATAGTAGAAGTTACTAGTGGGCTTGCTAGGAAAAATAGGTGGGCCTCAATTTAGTTCAAAAAATTTTCCCTAATTTTTATTAATTTCGGATTGGATTATCGGATCGGATATCCGATAACATTGCGAATCGGATATGGATTTAGCAATTAAATATCCATTGGATTATCGGATCGGATCGGATAAATTTTCTTATCGGATCGGATCGGATATAGGCATATAATTAATTAATTAACGAAAAAACCTGAGTTTTGTAATTTTAAACTTAGGGGCCTAATTTTTGATTTCCTGAAAGTAAATCCCTGAACCATGAATTTTTCCCTTGTTTCTTTCACTAGATATAGTTTAAGGTGGTACATTGCAGATGCATCTAGATTTCTCAGATAGCTCGAACAGAAAAATACCCAGATATAAAGAACACCAAGTATGTGCGGAGCCCCGTATGGTCCACAGGTCCAGTGCAGGCACTTGGGAGCCCCATTCCTTTTTTTTAAAAAAAAAATTTTGAGAGCCCATACTTGGGATGGACCAAAGTTTGTTGAATTAGTATGCTAAAGTTTGCCTGCAGTTTCAATGGGATGCATCTATGAATTGGCAGAGTTTCTATGTAATAAAGAGATTGAATTTTTTTAAGACAAAAAGACAACGCATTCTAGTATAAAAATTCGTTGTTCTTTTTTTCAATGAGGTTCCAGAAGACAAAAAGCCAAAGCATCCTAGCATATAAATTCAATTTTTTTGAATGAGATAATTTTTGAAGATTAATAATAAAGTTATTGTAAAACGATATCGAAGTATGAAAAATCAAAAAGTGTTAACTTATAAACTACAGTCATTTTTAGTATTTTTGTAATATTGTTTTATATTTTTATCATCTTTGAAAAGCTCGTCTATTAAATTGTTATGACCCAAAATTCTCAAGTGACTCACTCAAATATGTGCAAGTCTTACTGCAATATGTGAAATAGTCTAATCTTAGGGTAAGCTGCAAACCTGAGCACCAGTCTCGGCGGCAGTTTCAGCCACCTGAAGAAGCTGCTCCGAAGGAATGGGCCCTGTGGATTCTGCGCCAACTTTAGAGAATTGACTCTGATTAGGAACCTCTGATAAAACAGCCTTTGTGCACAGTATTCTAGTGGCTCTAAAGCTAAAGGGCAGCGTCCTACAAAACCCAGAATTGGAACCGGTACAAGGCAGTGAATTTGCATTGGAACTCGTTGGAAGTGAGACTTTTGGGTGCTTACAAGCAATAACAAAGGGGGATTTTTGAGAAAATCTTAAGGGAGCCACTGTTGATGATGAGACTGTTAACCACCTTCCCATTTCGGAGAGATTGAGGTTTCTATGTGCCGTGTTGTCGGAGAGAAGTGAGTGGACCGGGTGTATGTGTTTGGGAAATTTCGCCACAAATAGGAGGGTTGGATAAAGTGCTCGGAGAAATGGCACTTGACCAACATTAATAATTAAAAAATATATAAAAAAATCAAGATATTTTAATTGATCAAGTGATAAAATTATCCTTTAATTATTAGTAAAATATTCACCCAATTTCTCTCATTTTAACCTCATTCTTTCTTCTTCATTTTCACTGTGAAACCATTTTTTTCTAAATTTGAAACGAACGTCTACTTCTTCACCTCAATTTCTTGTGCATTCCAATATTACAAAAAATTCTTCTTCCATTCAAGTTTATTTCACATTACTTCATCCCTCTTTGTTACAAATTGGTATGGTAAAAATGTAATTTTTCCTTCAATTTTTTATTTTATTTTGAAATGTGATTTTGTGCTTCAATTGGAGTAGAAATAACATGAAAAAGTATTAACAAAAAGGGATTATTTATGATTTCATAGTTTATTTGGTATAATTTTATTTTGAGTTTTTTTAACATTGATAAATTTATTATACATTTGGAATTTTGAAGATAATGGGTTCATGAGGAATTCATTTACTAGCATTGTTATAAACAAAAATTGTGTCAACAACATGATAAAAAAAAATTACTAATAAAACTTATCAATGAAGTCCCTTTGCTGTTTTGATATCGATCGTAAATACGTGATGTAATTGATTAGTTACTTGTTTCTCATATTATTTCTCTTTTAACTGTAAATTTGAGTTTTTTTATATTTATTTGGTATTCCTTGTTGCAGTAATAGCAATTATTGTAGTAGGAATTCAGATTATTGAAGTTCACTAATTTAGAAGGGAATTTTGGATGGTGTTGGAGTTAAGTTATTCAATTATATAGAGAAGATATGTACACAAATGTTTGGATGTGGATTAAGGTTTGAATTTTTGGAGGAAAGATTGAAAGTCATTAAAAGTGAGTAAGGTAAAAGCATTTGCAGTATCTTCTCACTCGAGTGAAAAACAGAGACAAGATTTATAAGTGGTAGGAAAATCCTACATCTAATTGCTTAAGCAAAGAAAAGAAACAGGAAGGCACCTCTTGTATCTTGCTGGAAAATTTATTTTGAATTCCTAAACATGAAACAACACCTCTTTTTGTAGGGAAACACAGCACTACATGATATAGACATTGAGATTTTGATCTTTCAATACCTTCGAATTCTAAATTTTAGTTTTATATTTTGTTCTTTGTTTCTTTTGAGGGTTTTGGTTTATTTTCTTGGCATTAGCTCGTTAATGATTGATTAATTTTCGAACATCTACTACAATATTATATGTATTGGTTGGATATTTTAATGCTTCAACATTGGCAGGCCATGGTTGATGTCGACAAAGAAGTTGGAGCTAATGCTATTTCTCTTTATTGATGTTAATAAATTTGATTCGGTCTTTTCAGATTTTAGTTTCTTTTATTCATTGTCTTTCTATTATTACTCATTTAAGATAATTTATTTTAACGTGCATATCAGGTGCTCATTGAATACAATTCAAATCAATGAAGTCCTTGGAATGTCATATTTGATTATGAGTCATTGGGAAAGTAATGACGAAGACATTAGGTTATGATAGTTTTTCCAGCGAAGGTCGAAACTACATATCTGTGCAAAAGTCATAGAGTTGGGTTCTCATCACGAGACACATTCATAATGGAACTTTTGGAAAGTCTTCAGAATTTGCGTCTCTATTAAAGTTCGTTGCTGCTCAAATTATAGATAATCATTAGTGTTAAGTGTGTAAGCACAAGGTGTTGTCGGAAATTCAACTATCCCAATCGAAAGAACAAATAAAAGAGCAGGAAAAACGGAAAAAAGAAGAAGATGAAGCGAGGTATGCCAAAGCAGTAAATCTCCTTAAGACATATTTCGCCCCCCAACAACGTGCAAACGGGATTATGGACGTCTGTCTCCCAAGATACAACGCTTTTCCCAAAGTCGATATTGCACAATACCAACCTTGACGGTCGAACCAAATAATGATCGTACTCGAACGAAATAATCACGAAAATATCGAAGGAATTTTAGCAGAATATGGAGCGAGAAGAATTTAGAAATCAAGAATATATTAATTGATTTTGGTATCCAAAAAACGAATTTGGAGGTCTCTATTTATAGAGATTGAAGTGTCTCCTTGAAAGGGTGTGTAACATTTCATGAATTGGTGCACCACTTGATCTGATCTGTTTTAGCCATTGGATCGCACTCTTTCATAATCTGACGGACCAGATTAAACCACGAAATGTAGTGTCCATTCATCATGCCTATTCACCAATTCTGAACAGTCACCAGCCATGCAGTTGCCACGCGTACGTCCAACAGGACCAACCGCCATGCAGGACGAAGTGACGCAACCTGTTACGTGTGTGCCACCTAGGATGCCAACTCATCGAGCCTCTCATCGCCATGTCATCGAACCATGACTCCATTTCTGAAAACTATAAGGCTCCTCAGCTCCTCGCGACGATGCGTACGTGCGAAGTGCAAAGTGCGCCTCTAAAGCGCCCAATGCGTACTTTGCGACGTGCGCGGGCCCGGACCGGGACCGGGACCGGGGCGTGGCGTGGCGTGAGTGGTGCGAAGCACCACTCTCGTGGTGACTAGTTAGCTAGCCTTTGGCTAGCTAATAGTTAGCCAAGTTGTAGGTCACTTATTAAATTATAACTTATACACACATCCCACTATATAAACAAGTCTATTTTCTTGTAAACTTTCGATGTGGGATTCCTTACCATATATAAGACACTTAAATGGGCTTATAACATATGGGCCTATATTGGAGACTTTTCCAATTCACCCAAATTAATTACAACGGCCCACATCATTAAATAACATATTTAATGACTCAAATAAACATCATTCAATAACATATTTAATGATCCAAATGAATCAATTAATTCCAACACAAGGCATAGGAAGAAAATAGAATCAGAAGTGTAAGGAAAATTGATTGTTTCTTATATTTGTTAGAAAATATAAAATTACAAATATTCTTTGAGTTAGATTATGTAAGTTAAATATTTACAAGTGTCCATGATTACGATACAAGTGCTGTTATAGGACTTATAAGCTTCCATGAGAATGATATAAGTGACGTTACTGGACTTATAAACATACATGAGAATGACACGAGTGTTGTTATTGAAATGAAAACGTTCTTGAGAACACCACCAGTACCCTTATCGACTTATAAGAGTCCAATATATCATTTCAATAGTTCTTTATCACATGTCCATTGCTTGAGGTCGTTGTGTTGGTAACAAATCAAAATATAGGAGAAAATAACAGAACAACACAAGTATCGTTACTTAGAAGAAAATGACCTTTTTGTCGTTCTATTTGTAAACACGATTATAAGCAGCAATTGAAATAAAAATGATCCTTGTGCCGTTTTATCTATAAACACGAAAATGGCCGTTGTACCATTCTGAGATGAGAACGTCTGTTAAAACAGTATAATTATCGTTTATGTTTGTAAATGTGTTAATGAGAATGGTACTTGTGTAGTTACTGAGATAAGAACGTCTATTATAACAGTATAACTGTCCTTATGTTTGTAAATGTACTCGTCGACACTTGTGCTGTTATTGAATTGCAAAGTTCTAAGAAAATGGTACAAATGTATGATGAAGGTCCTTGAGAATGGCACTTGTATCATTACAGAGATGAAAAGTTTTAAAAGAACAATACATGTGTCATTATCGATATATAACTTGTCCATGATAACAAAATTTGTGACATTACTGTGAAGAAAACGACACTTGTGTTGTTCAGTCCATAAACACGACTATATCATATAATATATGTCACTTGTGATTTTCTAACAGATTAATACAATAATTTGTAATTTCACCGACTCGATATCATATAATCTATGTCACTTCAATCATTCTTTGTCACGTGATCAACCTTTCTGGCTTTCTTAAATTAGGGGATCCAATGTATGAGGTCGCTGCGTTGGAAGAGAAGCAAAATATTGGAGAAATCAATAGAAAGACACAAGGGCTGCGTAACAACACTTGTGTCGTTAAGTCTATAAACACGGGTATAAGCAACCGTAGCCCATCCATGCCCCGAGAACCAATAAGTTGAACTCATTGCAGTTGTAAGATGGACATTCCGTTTACAAAAGTTGAGATATGTGCTCATTAATTATATTTTCTAATAAATCAATTTAATGACTTGTGATTTCACCAACTAGATATCATATAATCTATATATTTTCACACATTCTTTATCACGTGATCAACTTTTCTGACTTTTTTAAATTAGGGAATCCAATGTATGAGGTCATTGCATTGGAAAATAAGCAAAATATTGGAGAAATCAACGGAACAACACAATGGTCGTTTAACAACACTTGTATCGTTCTGTCTATAAACATGAATATATGCAGCCACGACCCATGTATGCCCCGAGAACCAATAAGTTGAACTCATTTCAGTTGCAAGATGGGCATTCTGTTTACAAAGTTGAGATATGTGCTCATTAATTATATTTTCTAATAAATCAATATAATGACTTGTGATTTCACCAACTAGATATCATATAATCTATATATCATCATCCATTCTTTGTCACGTGATCAAAATTTCTGACTTTCTTAAATTAGGGGATCTAATTATGAGGCATTTGCGTTGGAAAAGAAGCAAAATATTTGAAAAATCAACAGAATGGTACAAGGGCCGTTTAACAACACTTATGTCGTTATGTCTATAAACACGAGTATAAGCAGTCATGACCTATTCATGCTCAGAGAACCAATAAGTTGAACTCATTTTAGTTCCGTTTACAAAAGTTGAGATATGTGCTCATTAATTATATTTTCTAATAAATCAATATAATGACTTGTGATTTCACTAACTAGATATCATATAATCTATATATCTTTACCCATTCTTTGTCATGTGGTCAACC